AGAAACACTAAAATCAAAATGAATAGGCGCACAATTAAAGTCCTAAACCCTCCCCGACAACGGTGCCAATTTTGTTGTCAGAATTTTTACCTGAGTAGAATCGAAAGATTCATTCCCCGGGTCGTATCGCAAGGAAGGTTAGTCTGATTCAATTGTACGATTATTCAATCATGAAAAAGAGAAAACGAAAGTCCTAAGCACTCTAATTCAATATTTTTCAGGTTTCAATTATCAAATATGGATTCAAACTAATGTAAAGAAAATTAAATGGCAAGATGAATTTACTCAATAATTAAAGAGCTAGAGAATCGGGGATAATTGCTTTTGGTTCTAACATAACTACCGGTAATCAATTGCTCGGTTAAAGGACTTGAATTGTTTCTCGTCCAGAGGCTCACTCTCAATAACTCTTTGTAACAAGAGAGTGAACGTACACGATCAACTATCAATTCCAACAACTCATAGACAATACTTTTACGAACAAGTCTATCCTAAATGAGCCTAAATCGACAAACGTCTCCCTTCTCGATTCTACACGTTTATTGATTAGGTTAGAAAGGTGATCAATCTACTAACCCTAGAATAAGCACAACTCGAATAGGTATGAACAATCAAGAACAAGCAATAATTATCCAACCGAATCAATCATCCCATAACCCTAGCGTATGGATTTAGCTACTCATATGGAATTCAACATCACAAATTTCAATAACCCAAATCATCATCATCAATAGAGAAATTGAGAAAAGGAACTTACGATTAATATAAAATCCCAATGTTAAATCCAAAAGCATCCAAATCCAAAGCGAGAAATAGGAGTTTTCAATCTCCAAGAACAAACCCAAAGTGCAAAGTAATGAAAAGGAATGAGTTTCTAGAGAGAAAAAACGTAAAAATGAAGTTTGAAAGTCGAATAATGATCCCTAGGTTAAAATTCTGAAGTAAAAATCCCGTCTTCGAAATTCGTGCCGAGTAAGTCGCGAGTCGCGACTTCCACTTTTCCCAGGCCGCGAGTCGCGCGTCTTTAAATATCTTTATTTTTTGGGGAAAATCGTGACCTGTCTCACGAGTCGCGACTCCATCTCGCGAGTC